CTAGGGAATTTACAACAAAATAACGAATTAATAATGACTCGCGAGATTCAATTTCAAAAATCTAGTCACTTTATTTCACTTTTAACATTGGCCACCAGGTGCGCTGGTGGCGTTCTTGTTTGCCTTCCGTGGCCGAACCTTTGCTCCGCAGCAATAGGTTACGTCGTGACTCTCTTATTTTACTTGGCCAAAATGGCCGTCGCTACGTACGCGTGGTCGAACGAGCTCGGCCGACGCGCGCGTGCTTCGCTCGTCGACCTGTAGCCACGTGGCTAACTCCGCGAGAACGCGTCTACGCCGCGCCGTACACCTGCGTTTTATCCTAATTATGCAACACGGCAGTGTGCCGTCGATTCGCACACACACACTGAGCTTGCCGCCGCTGCGGTAACACTCACACACACACACACAATCTCGATACACGCGCGAGCACGATGACGCAATCGTGCACACGGCCAAGCGACCGACCACCTAAATAATCTTAAAGCTAACCTCTTCGCCGGCTCTTCAGTAGACGATGCCCTGGCAAACTCCTTTGCTGTCGTGGCTTCCGTCGCCTGCACTCCGTGGCAAAAATTCCTTTTCTTGGCCTAGGTGGCTTTCGAGTTCGTATCGGCACCGCTTGTCTCGAGGCAGAACTAGCCTCACTTTCTTGGCGGTCGTCCTTGGCACTCACTATGTGCTTCTCACACGACACTCGCACTTCGACCAACTTTTACTTGTCGGCGAGTTCTTTTAACACCGAACTGGCACTGTCGCGGACTGTTGCTGGGTATTTTATCAGCGAAAAACAACTCAATCTTTACTTCGTTTCCTTCGCACGTGCACACACTTGCTTGGCTCGTGGTAATCTGCCTTGCGTGGCGTTGTCTGCGGCGCAGTAGATTGCGCAGTAGTCACGTGACTCGGCTACTGCTCTTGTGCGGCCTGCGTGCTTCTCCTCGGCCTAGGCTCGTAGAATATCGAGATGCGGCTTGTTGTCTTGGCGTCGGTGTTGCGTCCTCGATCTGCTCCGCTCGTCTTCTTCTTGGCCTGAAACCTTGGCTACGGGAAAATACGCGAAATCATTCACTCGTGCATTCTCGCGACGAAGAGATCTCGCGTGGTGCTGGTGTACGAACTGCCCTCGGTCAGGCGCGACGTTTAAACTCGCAGGCATGTGCTTCGTCACAGCGTATAATCAGTTCCGTCCGAGGCATGAGAGGATGATAATGATAAGAAATGAGATGACATTGCGAAATGAAGCGCGATTGCAGTGATGATTGTATGAATGATAGTTGAAAGTCGGAGTTAAATAAAGAACGATTATTTGTGTGCAAAAGTACATTTTTCGTCGTCTTTTCGCGACCCTCTCTCACTTATTTTCAGCTTGGACTGCCTACGCTCGCGGCGCACTTGGTGGCGGCTCGACCCCTTCTGAGGTAAGACTCAACGATAGGCTAATCGGAGCCTCAGTAAGAAACAATTAGACGGCAGGCCGAGCATGGGCTAGTGCCCAAAACCTCGCACGTCACAATGCAAAACTCTGATTTTATTTCCACCGAAAATCCTACAGTTCATTCATTACCAATTATTTCTACAGAAAATCTTACAGTTAATTCATTACCAAAAATTAATGAAGATCATTCAGAAAAAAATACTGCAAGAACTCTTTAAAAAATTATAATTTTGAATGGTCAATACACGAATACAGTTACTCTTTTACCAAACGATGGTACAGTAAATTTGTTATGCAAATTCATCCATTCAATTACTACTGAGTTCAAAATTATTATGGAATGAAGTAGACATCCAAAAAAATCGAAAATACACTACGAAAAATGATGAATTTCTTAAACTTTTTTTATCTAAATATAAATCTAAAGCTAATGATTTAAATACTCTAAACTTTAGATAAATTGCGGGTAAAAAATATTTAAGACAGAAAGAACAAGATGTTCCGGAGTTCATTGAAGACTTGATTTCACAATTTGGTATTTTACAGAACTTAATAAAAAATATAATTATATACACAACTATCTGTATAGAATGCGGTTATCAGCGCCGGGAGCAACAAATTAATACTTTCATACAGCTAGATATACCTCCAGAACCGAAAGAAACATACAGTATTCAAGATTTAGTAAATTTCAATTTTGATAAGTGGACTGAAACAGAACTTCAATGTTCCGAATGCGATAATAATGTATTACGACGAAAAAGTGATATAATAATAGAAGATAACAAAATTGTATTACTTCATTTAAAAATTTTCAAAACAATTGTAAATCCTAGGGTAAAGAATACTTATATTGTCGCTAAATTAAATGATTTACATATTACAGGATTGCCTACTGCAACGATAACGATTAATAATAAAAAATATAATTTAAAAAATGGAATATTTCATCACGGGGAATCTGTTGCGAGAGGACATTACACAAATATATTAATACAAGAAAATAATTACGTAAAAATAAATGATACTCATATAAAATCATTAGAACCTGCCGATTGGCCAAGAAATTCGAAAGATATTTATGTACTATTGTTAGAACGAAAAAATTAAATTAAAAATAGAAAATGCAAACAGGGAAAAATAATGTAAAATCAAGAACCAATACTAAAAATTTTTTTTATTTAAATGAATGTTGTTGAATTTTTTACTTTCCCTCTGAAAAAAATTCGATTTAAAAAAAAATTTAAGTAAATTAATTTACAATTACGAATCCAAAAAGAATAAAAAAATTGATAAATAAAAATTCGAGTGATTCAATTTAAAATTCAAGTATATCAATTTACAATAGAAAAAATTAAAAAATCAGCTGTATTAGAACAGCTGTTAGATGTGTAACGTCTTTATTAACATTAAAAATAAATTCAAGTAAATTGATTTACAATAAAAAAACAGAAGCGTGGCAAGATGTGTAACTAAAGTCATATTTAAAGGTAAAAAAGTAAATCAATTTACGATAGAAAATAGAAAAAAAAAGCGCTGCAAGATGTGTAACCAAAGTCACATTCAAAGGTAAAAATTAAAATAATAAAAATAAATAAAATAAAATAAATAAAACAAAAGAGTATTTGACGTTGCACTTCTGATGATTTTTGTATAATATGCTCAGACACCAGAAGTGCAACGTCAAATACTTTTTCGTTTTATTTGGTTTATTTTATTTATTTTTTCGTTTTATTTGGTTTATTTTATTTATTTTTATTATTTTAATTTTTTCCTTTGAATGTGACTTTGGTTACATATCTTACAGTAATTCTTTTTTTTTTTTTTTTATTTTATTTTTATTTTAATTTTTTACCTTTAAATGTGACTTTAGTTACACATCTTGCAGCGCTTCCTTTTTTTTTCTATTTTCTATTGTAAATTGATTTACTTGAATTTTAAATTGAATCACTCGAATTTTTATTTATCAATCTTTTTTTTTTTAGAAAATCAAGCCTAGTTTAGCTGATAAATACACAAAGTAGGCCAAAACACACAAACGCGGATCTGTTACATATAATATCAGACCACTGTGGCTTGTAAAGATCCTGAATATATTCCGCTTTAATGTTATTAAGAAAATCAAGCCTAGTCGAGCCAATAAAAAGCCAAAGTAGGCCAAAACATACAAGCGCTGATTTCGAAAATGAATACTCCACTCCTAGGGCCTATTAAGATCCAGAATACATTCTGCTTTCATGTTTTTTAGGAAAATAAGCCAATTGCAGATGATAAAAAGCCAAAATAGGCCAAAACATACAAGCATGGATTCTCGAAAAATAATACTCCTCTTCAGTGGCTTGCTAAGATCCTCAATACATTCTGCTTTCATGTTTTTGAGAGAAATGAGCCTAGTTTAGTTTATAAAAAGCCAAAGTAGGCCAAAACATACAA